AGTATCAGTGCACACGTACATGAGTCTGTACCATGATTTTCTTCTTCCTCCAGTGAAAGCAACTGAAGGGGTTTCTGTTATTTTAATTCCAATTTGTTTTGGATGAGGGGGTGGAAAGAGAAAAGCTTTCAGGTGGTGCTTCATGAGTTTTTGTGTTTTAAAAAATAAATTTAATTCTGGTGTAGTAAGTGCAATTTCTCCCTTTTCTCTGAAAACACTGAGGTCCATATACTCCTTGTCTTTCAGAACCTATGGGCTCATAGGTCTTCACCTGGAGACTGGACTAATCTGCTATATCTTTGACAATGGCTAGTTAGCACATTACCAGGAAAAAACATACACCACCAATCTACAAGTGTTCTGCTACTTCTGCAAATTTTCTTCTCTATTGTACAGGTGAAATCTGTTGTTTAAGACAGACTAAAACATTAATACATTGCTCATGGGATTATGTGGTTTTTTTTTTAAACTTTCCTCCATTAAAGTCACAGAACCATCTGTATGGTTAAAATTTGAAATAGATGAGAAATGGCTAAGATTCAATATTCATCACAGGCAGATGAATTCTTCTATTGGCTAGAAGCATTTTTGCCAATATGTAATTTACCATCCAAGCATTTCAATCTTACACAGAAATGCTTTAAAGATTTATAAGCAGACTTATGTATTACAACCTACAATTCCTTTACACGCTTCGAACAATTTCCTGCCATACCTCTTTATAACACAAATAACTTCTGCTTTGCTCTAAAAACAATATTCATGCTGGCAGTAGGCTTGTTACTACCTATAGTAATAAAATTATATGGCTGAAACGGATATTTTAAAGATGATGAGTACACGGATTTCTAGTAAAAAAGCTATTTCACTCAAAGCCTTTCTTTAAACAGTGGCTCAACTCTGGTGATCTCCTTTCAGTATTTCGGAAGCCAAACATTCAAATAGCTTAAAAAAAAAAAGAAAAAAAAAAGAGCTTTAGAACATAACTGTTAAACACAATGTAACAAAGATGCTCCATTAACTTTTGGTGGGGAATTGAGCACTACTTAATATCTCTTACTTCTGCAAAGAACTAATGGCTATGAAAGGATAAAGTACAACTAGAAGCATTACACAAAACTAAATCAGTTAGTATCTATCTATACAATTACACATACCAAGATATATGATATTCAATCTCAGTAAAAAAGGGTGCTTTATTTAAAGTTTGTTTTAAAATATATGCATTAGTTTAAAATGTGTCCCTCGTCATATATGCACAGAAAAATTTAGAGGAACTGTACTATTTTATGAAGTTAATTAACGATTGAGTCTAAGCTCTGAAAAGCAGGCCATTTTCTTTCCTTTAATCTGAGAAGAGTAAGTAATTTTCTGCATAAAGATTTTTCTTTCCATCTTACTTGCATGCAACTTTTACCTAATGACTTACTACCATCAACGCAGCTCTAATTAAATGTAGACAATTAAGACAGCTGTAGATTAGGGAAGCATCGATTTACTGTACTGCAGCTCAGTGAGATCAGAAATTCTTGGGTCCATGATGTTCCAGTTATTGTGTTCTACGCTGGACCACTCAATCACTCTCAGCACTCTTCAGAACTCATTTAACAGAGTAGCCAATTATGATGTCACTGACAACTATTTCCTATTATGGGCTCTTGGGTAACTGTTAAAGGCTGGATGAGAATCATATCCTAAATTGAAGCTAATAAGCTTTAACTACACAGTTTGGTATTTAGTAAGTCGCAATTCCAACAACAAAAAATACTAGAAATAACATTTAAAAGCCTATTTTTCAGTGGTGGATTTCATGGGCTCATTTGTGTTATTTCATTCTGTCTTGTCTGTGTTGTTTATACATATCAAACTTTGAAGAAGATGGATAGAAACTCTACTCTGGCGGGGAAATCCTCCCAGCCACAGCCACTCTGCATTCTGCTTGAGAACAGGTGAGCAGGCTGTGAAACACACCAGTGCCTGTTTGTTCACTTCATCACCAGCACTGGAGGTTTTAGATCCCTATGCTGCCAGTCCAAGTTTTGTAAACAAATCTTCCTGTCTCCCACTTTAAATATGCATATAAGAACAAATAGCTCGTAAGCATTTTGTTACAAATACATCCACCTGACTTACAGTCATGTTACCGAGCTTCAGTGCTACCTGATCTACTTGCACCTAGCGAGTCAAAACTGAACTTGGATCCTGTTTTTCCCCAAATTGTTCAAATTTATCTTCAAGGGAGGCTGGTGAATAACAACACACTGTTGTACACATTGCCTCAGCCAGAATTCTGATTCTCAACAGGCTTGCTGAAGATAATAGGTTTGCAAAATGAAAAAAAAAACAACAGCTCCCCCAAAATGGTGGTCCAAGCTTAGTACCTCTCCTAAAAGACCAAAATCTCTTCTTCCCCAGACACCTTGACAACTAGCTGGAGCAAACTGATAGACAGGGCTTAGAATAGGCTAGTTTGTCCTGGCATTCCAGCAACATGATCAGCCTCATCCCACATTCCATATTCTTTTTGGCAATAGGACATTAGGCTCCCTAACATGCACAACATCAAGCTGCGACTCAATGTTTTGGATTTGAGGTTTGCAGAACACAGAGCCAGGCACATCACCTACTCACAAGGCTAAGATGTGTTTTATCATTACACTTCGGAAATCCCTAAGCATTACAAAGGCCAAACAAGGCAGTGTTCTGGACTAATGCCATTTTGGAACAGGGATCTAAACGGCTGTTTCTCATTTAAGATTAAAAATAATCAAAGGAAATTAGGTTCTTAATTATAGAATGTAAAACCATACGTTTTTCTTTCTAGTAAAATCTTTCAGCAACATATGTTTCCTGCACTGACCACCTCACAAAGTGTTCACTGATGCCCCTTTCAGAAGGTTCTTCATTTCCATGCTAATATCTGTACGATTCTTAAAAGCTGCCACAAATCAGGTTAATTTTTCCAAGACAATATCTGAAATCCATAGCATTTTCCCATAGCTAAAATATGTCTCTTGGAAAGCTTTATCTTTGAAGTTACTAACTCCACCCAGAAGATGCAAGAAATCCATTCTTAAGATGCTTTTAGTTGCAAAAAACTCAGCAAGAAAACTAGCTCAGTAAAAATCCCTGTATTACTCAGCCTCTTGTGGCTATCTATTCATCTGCAAGTTTTCACAACAGCAACCAATACCATTTGCACCCAGGATGCAAAAAGCAGCTCTTAAAAACAGATTACAGTTTTTAATAAATGGATTATTTAGCACTAAGATTACTGCCTCGTGCTTATTTGATGCTTCCTTCTCCTCAGAAATTAGATATTGATGAGAATCTGGGTAACAAAGGTATTTGAATCTCTGTGCAAGATGAGGGTGAATGAAGAGAGATATAAACACTTCTGAAGTACAGTTAGCATCTAAGGCATCTTTTGAAGAGTGTAAGCATCATCACATTTCCATTATTGTAATATGACCAAAGTGAAAGATAACAGCACAGCGATATGATCCTTTCATATAACCATGGACTTATTTTTTTAATTTCCAGTATTATTATTCTTAACAGGCTGCAAGAATAAATTTAAAGGGGGAAGGTGGGGTGTCAAAACGAGTGGTTAGCTTATTTTTCTACATATGAAGCCAGCGTGCAAAAACTAACTTACAGGAACAGGTTTCAGATGCGACATATTTTACTGGGATGTTTCTCTCTCATAGGATTTAAGGCTTAAAATGATGACCGAATGTTGGCTACAGAAAGCTTCTGGAAATTGATAGTACCAGTGATGAGCCAGACGATGCCATCAACACCACATGCCTCACAGGGATTTGTGATGTTCAGACAAACATTGCATCAAATCAAATCTTGGTGAAGAAGGAGATTGGAAGGGAGAGAGAATTATTTTAAGCAGGTATTTCCAATGAAGGTGTACTTTTGTTTTACATATAAGTGAGATCAACAATAGCTGCTGCAGAAAGGAGCAACCCTGCTGGCTCCTTCTCTTGAGCTGTACTTGTCTGACTCTGCAGTACGCCCATTCAGGGAGCTGAATCAACTAAGCTTCTACAACAAGATGCAATCAATTTTTCTGCCAGTTTAGCTTCCTGTGAAAGCACACGGCCAAGGAGCCAGGTAGGAGGGCAGAAGAGAAAGCCCATCCCTTGCAGCAGTGGCCATCTATTAGACTAAGTTGTAATAGAGAAGCACTCCCTGAAGTTCCTGTCCGCAGCAGAGTTCCTCAACATGCTAAGCTGGGTGGAGGGGGAATTTGAGGTTGAAAACAGTTAGCAACTCATTTATTTGTAACTCTGTGAATTTACATCTTGTAAAGAATCCATGATATGACATGGAGTCACCTTTATAATAAAAGTCACACATGGGATTTTATAAAGCACTTCAGTGATTTATGTTCAGCATTTTTACTGAACCTCACGCTCCTAACTCAGTTACTTTTGAAAAGCTTGCCCTCTAGGATCACTTGTAGCCCAGTCTCAAAGTTTTAAGACTTCTTCCATGTATTCAAAAGCAAATTAGAAAAAAAAAAAAGAAACAGTTTCTCTTCATGGTCAATAATATAACTTTCAGGCAGAAGCCTTTTTTGTCGTGGCTCAGAGGAATCCATGTCAAAAAGAACGAAGACAAAGGCAGAAAGAAGCCTGTTGTCAAGGGATAGCATAGTCCAATTTATTATTGTAACTGAGCCTCTGTGAAACTGTGGCCAGTGGAAGAGGCATTTATTGTATTAGCTTGATTGTAGCAACATATGCAAGGGAAAGGACTTTGAACAGGTACCAGGAAAGAAGTGAAGACAAGGGAAAAGCTTTTCCTTCATTGAATAGCAAAATGCAACTCAGATAAAATGTTCACAAGCTAATACTTATTTTTTCTAGAAGCCAATTCCTAACTTCAGTTTCCTGAATAATGAAATTGCCAAATGTTTTTCAAAATGTCATTTTTATTCCAGTTATTTGTTTGCTTATCCAAACAGACTGAGGAATGTGTCTTACCATACAAGTATCCAGATCCTCCAAACGTTCTATCTCTGTCAACTCCTCAACCGTGATGATAGAGCGTTTAGTTGGTTTTTCTTCAGCTAACTCAATTTCCAGTGAT